AAGTGACCACACGAATGTATTACTTTAGGATTAGTGACATCCTAAATTGTCCTCTGATAGAGGTGTCCACACCTCCTGCACCATGGGAACCAAGACCTCTACTCTCATAGAACTTCTAGGGAGCCATGATGCCAGAAATTACAAATTTCCAAGTGGATTATTGGGACTTTTGCCCCTTCTCCCTTCATCCATTGGCTCCCAAACCCATGGAGTTTATCTGTTGGGGACGCAGTACTCTACGGTAGTTGTTGGCTCAAAGTAAAGATCAAATCTTGAAAGTTGGGGCCCAACACTGCTGGGTGTCATCTCTAAGCTGTGCACTTCAAACTCCATTCCAATGTTATACTCTGTGACAGCGCCTATGTGACACATGTGTGCAGGATCAATATGACATGAGCAGTAAGGCTGTTTAGATGTCAGCATGAGCCTGCTGCCTAGTCTTTGACTGGGCTTTCCTCAGTAAATCAGGATACTATGTTATGTTCAGCTAAGATTGAACTTTCTGCTGAAATATGGGCACACACCAAAACATTTACAACAATCGCAAGTGAACTACTTGGCAAATTTTCACAAAGTGAATATACATGAATACAGCTAAGATTTTTCACAATGGTTCTATAAAAATATTTGGTTATTTCATAAACCAATAATTTTTGCACTCCATTACTAACTTGGATTTGAAAAAAATTTTTTGTAAGTTTTTATTTATTTAATTTGAAAGACATGAGAGAGAGAGAGAGGGAGAGAGAGAGAAAGAAACAGAGGCAGGGCAAGCTCCCATCCTGGCTGAACAGGCCAAAGTCAGTAGCTAGGAACTCAATCCGGGTCTCCCATGTGGGTGACAGGGACCCAAGTACTTGGGCCATTGCCTGCTGCCTTCCAGGAAGGCATTAACAAGAAGTTGGAATTGGGAGTGGAACTGTGACTCAAACCCAGGCACTCCAGTATGGGCTGCAGATGTCCCAAGCAGTGTCTAAACCACTGTACCAAATGCCTGTCCTGGATTTGAAAAAAATTTTAGGACAATCCATGCCCTAGAAACATAGCACTTATTAGACTATAAGTCTGATAATACAACCTTGCCACAAATTCATCCTGACTCCCAATACAAGATTTGTGAGTTCTACCGGATTTGTGAATTTTCTCTTTGTATCGTAGTAGAATTCAACATGTACATATTTGGTACATACATACATGTATATATATAAAATTTCCCTTTCTGTCATTTTTTTGTGAGACTAATCTCACTTTCGCAGCTCTACCAGCTCAAAGGCTGAGGGAACATATGCTACCCCATATGCTCAACACAGATTCCTCCATGCATTTCTCCCACAGAGCTCGGGGATTGAGGAATGTTTGTACTATTTTATTTTTCCTCATAGTGAGTCACTCCACTGTACATTTCAAAATCTGTGGTACGTTGAAAGATCCAAGAATTGAGGTACATTTCAACAAACAGCTTCCCATCTGGTACATGAGAGATTTTATTTATAACCAGGTATCCAGATACAGGGGTATGGAATGACATTCGAATTATTTTGTTTTATTACCTGACCGAGGGGCTGACAGAAACACTAACCACCTTCACTCTGTTCCCCACGATGCAAGTAGATCAGGAAACTCCTCTGCCTCAAACTCTTCTCTGAGGTCAAAGTCCCCACCATGGGAGAGCAAGGTGCCCCCCAGGACTCTGCTCCTGTCTTATTAAAGATCCCCTTCCTTTCGACAGTCACCTGGATCTTGCAGTTAAATGTATCCCTAAATTAGTACTCATCACAGCATAATATATGAGTAGGAAAGGTTCAAAAGCCAGGGTGTTTTGAACACACGTCTTATCACTTGCTAGCTGCTTTTCATTTACTGAACCCCAAAGAGAGTTTCTAGAAGTAAGCACTTGGTGTTTAAGGTGGAAGTAAGGACAACCATTAGAAGCTAAGGATCTGCTTCCAGTTTTGAGCCCATAAGGCTCACTGATGGATTCTGCATGTGCCACCATGTTGGAACCATTGCAAAGGCCAGACTAGACCAGGTAGGTAATTCAGCATTTCCAGAAGCCCAGAACTGGTAGAGTTGATCTTCTAGCTCTAGAGGGAAGAAACTGCTCTCTTCTTTCTTCACCATCCACCCAGGGCCGGAGTTGCCTGAACCAAAACTGCCCTGCCATGTGCACAAGGACTTACTCTGTTTCAAAATATATTATCTGAGTTTGGATGGGAGGTCTGAGATGGTCCACATTTAAGCATAGGCTGAAAGATTTTGTGCATCATAAAGTTATGAGATGTTCCAAATGCTAAGCCAAACATAAAGAGATGCTTTGAAACATCCTCCCACTTTTCCTTTTAAAATTTTTAATTTAATTTTTTTATTTGAGAAGCAGAGAGAAAGAGAGAGGAGGTGACGAGAGCTCCCTGCCTCCTGGATCATACCCTGAATGCCTATGATGGCTAGGACAGGTCCAAGGCTGGGGTCAGGAGCTAGGAATGCAACCCAGGGGTCCCACATGGGTGGCAGGAACCCAGCTACTTGACCACTGCCTCCCAGGATCTGCACTGGTGAGAAGCTGGAGTCAGAAACTGGAGCTGGGAAATGAACCTAGGCACTCTGGTATGGGACGTGGGTGCCTCAACCTCTAGGCTAAATGCCCATTCCACATATTTTTTTTTTTCAAGAATTTACCTATCCATTTAAGAGCAGACAGAACAATTATCTAGCATTTATAAAGTCTTTAGATGTGCTTAGTTCACTGGTAGGAGCCTTGGGGCGTATAAAACAAGTGTTTTTACAAGGCTTGAATCTGGAAGGAGAGAGAAAAACTTTGGTGTGGTGTGTACTTTAATAAGTGTATACTTTTCATAAATACTTTCAGAATGAGAGAGACCACTGTCTAGAGGAAATTTTAGTGAAGACTTCATAGAGGAAGTAGAATTTTTTTGCTATAAATTAAAAGTAAAGTGTTACAGGATGTTCATTGCATAAAGGGTGTATTAGTTCAGGCTGCTATGACAAATATACCTCAGATTCGGTGGTGTAAATAAGCATTTATTTCTCACAGTTCCGGAAGCTGGAAGTCTAAGATGAGGTTAACACACAGTTGGTTCTGGTGAGGGTTTTCTTCTAAGTTGCCAACAGCCAATTTTTGGTGTCTTCATGATGGAAAGAGGGTAAGCTAGCTCTCTGGCCTCTTTTTATAAGGACACAGATCTTGTCTATGAAGACACCACATTCATGGCCCAATTACCTCCCTAAGGACCCATCACTAGATACTGAAAGGGTTAAGGTTTCACCATATGAATTTGTGGTGAAGGGGACCACAAACATTCAATCCATTGCCAAGGCAGCCAAGTCTGACCTACATGGATACAAAAGCACAGGGCAGGAAAGATAATGATGATGCTGCTTGTGGTAGCTGGTTCTCTCCTTACTCTTCTGTGCTCCAGAAAGCACTGCCTATAGTAGTCACTCCCAAGCCTTAGCACGCATCAGAATCTCCTGGAGAGGGCTTGGTGAAAAACACACAGGGAGTAGGTATCTGGTCTACTTTTTAAGATGTCAGTGTCTCATATGGGAAAACCTATGTTTGATAAAGTCCTGGCTCCAATTTGCAGACCTTAGGAAGCAGCAGTATTGGTGCAAGTAATTGGCCTGTCACCCTCATGGGAGACCTGGATTGAGCTTCTGCCTCCCAGCTTCGGCCCTGGCCTGGCCCTGAACACTGTGGGCAGTTGGAGAATAACCAGCAGTGAGAGCTGTGTGTGTGTGTAGTGTGTGTGTGTGTGTGTGTGTCTGCCTTTCAAATAAGTTACACACACACACTCACCCCAATGTGGGCACCTAGTCTAGAGTTTCTGATGGAATGAAATGAGACATGCCTTTGCATTTCAGTAAGTTCTTAGGTGGTGCTGATGCTGGGCTGGGTCCCAAGCTCTGAAATCCACTGGTCTCAGTGGCACTGATAACTCAGTGGTCCACACACTCAGTAAATGGCATCCACCAATGACAGTAATGATAATGCTACAAATTGTCTGCCTTAGTGATACCCTTTGCTCCACATTTCCTCTCCCCTGTCTCCGCCCCCCTCCCCACTAAAGCATGTGACCACCCATTCACACCTCTGTGTCGCATCTTTCCTTACCAACGTCACTCAACTCCCACACTGCTGCTGCCACATTGGATTTGACCATTTCCTGCCTATTGCTGTTGTAAGCTGAATTCCCATGGTTTGACCTTTCGGCCAATCTAAATGTTGAGAGAAAAAGTGAATGATGTTACTGGTTTTCAGTTTCTACTGATCTCCTGCTGATTTGTTGGTAAATGAAAGTGGTGATGTGGGGGCCCTGATTTTGATTTTCTGTTCAACACTGATTATAATATTGCAAGTAGCTGCTTATTTGCTTTGGAATTATTTCTCTTTGATGAAATGATTACCCAAGTAGATAGCATTGTGACTGTTTCAGCAGTTCTGATAATTGCATGTTGGTTTAAGGCTTTACATGTTAAATAATTAGATTACAGTTGACCCTTGGCAGATGCTTTGAATTCCTTTAGTTTTATCAGCAATCAGAGTACATAACAAATTGCAAAGTAGCCGAAACCTACTGGAACTTCTTTCCATGAGGATGAAAGGAGTTAATAGCACATAGTAGGGGTTCATTATATATTTGGTGAAGGAACAAATGAATGCATTCAAAATAAATGCAAAAATAATTTCTCTTTTCTCCATGAAACAAAAACAGACACAGTTCCATGAAATATAGGCATGGTTATTTTGTATCCGCTTTAAATTTGGCAGGCTCCCAAATGTTAATTTGCTTTTAGCTAGTTGAGATTAAATGTAATTCCTTCCCTGAGCAACCCTAAAGTAAGTAAGCATGAAAGCATTTTCAGAGTAATCTGGGAGGAATTGACATTTAAAGGAGTTAGCATTACATCTGTACTTTAAGGCTATTAATTTCATAGATAAATTAACTTCATTACTCCATCTTTATCTTGCATTTTGAAAGGACTCCATCAGCTGGAGGCCTGAAAACCGAGGGTCAGTTGAAACTGCTCTTATCCCAGCCTGGCTGTAATTGGAACCTGCTTCTGGAAACCCTACTGCATTGCGATGGTCTTTTATTGAGGATCCTGCTGAAGGGCTCGAGTGAGTATTGATGGTTGTAAGAATGTCCTCAAAAAACCCAGTGTTGCTCAAGGTGAATGAGAATGTTCTTTTCTAATCAAATACTGGTAGAAAGATGTATACCAACTGCATGTGTCAGTAGTGAGTAGAGTTAGCAGCAGGCATAATATTGATCTGCTTTACTAGCCTATTTGAGATCATTTTTTTTTTCAAAGATTCTGATAAGGGGAAACAATATATATACTCACACTTATATATCATAGTTCATATAATATACATTTATATTTATATAAATGCAAATATTAGATATATATACAAATATAAATAATTTGAAAGGCTGAGAGACAGAACTCACATCCACTGATTCATTGCAGAAATGCCTGTAATTTCTGGAGCTGGGCCAAGAGGGCGCTAGGAACTTAATCCAGGTCTTCCCCTCCATGGCTAGGAGTAGGCGAGACAACTGGGAACTTAATCCACAGACCCAACGACTTAAGCCACCACCTACTACCTCCCAGGGTGTACCTTATCAGGGAGCTGGAATCAGTAGTGGAGCTGGACCTCAGGACCATGCACCCTAATATGGAATATGGACATCCCATATTAAACTGTAACAAATGCCTGCCCCTGGCAAACAGTATCTTTGTATGACATTGTTCTATCACCACTGCAATTATATAGAAATATATAAAAAAATTGTAGGAACACTTACATTTCCAAAGAGCAATTCTGAATCAGAGAGAGAGAGAATTACATTAGAGCAACCCTAGAAATTTTAGTGTATCATGAAAAGTGTTTATGCAACTTATAAACAAGCAAACTGTGGCTTATAGCCACATCCATTGGGGCATGGAGAAATAATGAGAAAATTATAAATGGAAATTGAGAAGTAATAGCGGACCATATTTCTCTTAATTAAACTTTCTATTTTTCCCTGTGAATGCTACATTACAAAAAGGTAAACAGTGTTATGCTAATGAATATCATATCGCATTGCTCTCCTCCACCTTCTATGAAAGGCCTTCTAACCATTTTCACATACCCGTATGCATTTCTGCTGTTCTACACCACATGCAAAGCTGGATGAACCTCACCAATCACCAGTTTCACTGCAGATTTCCTGAATCAAGATCTTTTTCCTTTAGGTCCCTAACACTTTCAGAACCAAATCCAGGTCCTTCCGCCATTCAGATTTGATTCCAGACAACTTTTCTGACCTTTCCCCCACTCTCCCCTTGCACATATCACCGTCCTCCCTCCCAATTCCAGTTATAGTCCTTGTCCTCAAAGTCTCATTCCCTCCACACCTTTTTTCTTTTTTTTTTTTTGGTTGATTGACTACTGTTTTATTAGAGATATCATCACAGGACAGGAGGCCCAGGGTTCTCCCTATCACCTTTGGAAGAGGAGGGCGGGCGTGCACTGGCGAAGAAGGGCCTGGATTCCATCACAGTTCCCATCCCCCCAGGGGATCTGCTGAGACACCCGTAGCAGCTTTCCCTATGACTGAGCACCCCATTCCAACTCCTGCTGGCATTGGCAGCCACTGGGTCAGGACTCTGGGGAGGGAGAGGAAGGCACCCAAACTAACTTCCCTTGTCTTATTCTGATGTCACCTGTGTATTGAACTGCATAAAAGATCTGGTAGGCCTGTCAAAAACAAACAAACGAAAAAAAACCAAAAAACCCATTTGTCCCACTTGGCCTCCATAAGTCTACAAGTGTCATTCTGTGTTGCAGATTTTTTAAAAAAATGTTTTAAATAATCAAGAAAAAGATCTAGAGAGAATTCAAGCTAGAGGGCTGCTACCACTGCCAAGTGATGGTCGATTTAAAATGAAAAACTCAGTTCAAATTCTCTTGTCTTACATTAATATTTTCTTGATCTCTTAGGTAGTATGAGTCATTGGAGCAGAAGCGTGGTGTTTTGTTGTATGTAGAGTGTGTGTGTTTTGTCTTATTTTACAAGTATGACCAAAGTGCTTTTTTATGACTGTCTTGAGGGAGATGACATAAAATAGAAATAAGCTCCCTCTTGGTATTCTTAGTCTACCTAACATTGATGTCATATCCTAGGCTGCTTATCCAGTAGTGACATCAGCATTACAGGACTCTGTTCAATCTTTTGTTGATATTGTTCACTAGATTTTACTATTTTTATTAGAAACAGTAATACCCTATTAGTTTGTTTTTGCCCTTGGCCTTTCCAAATAAGATACTATGCAAGAAAGATGGTGGGCTAGTTTGGTGGTGTTAAGGGGCTCTGAGGGATTATTCCAATTCCAGAAACAGTAGCATCTAGAATCCATTGAGTCTGCAGGAGGATAGGGGGGTGGTGGTGGGGTACGATTATGTAAAACAAGGTCTTTTGTCATGAAAGGGTAAACCCCAAAGCTGTGGATCTGATTAAAACTGCAGATTCTGATTCCACAGCACTTGGGTGGAGCCCGAGATTATGCATTTGTAACAAGCTGCCAGATGGTGCTGCTCTTGCTGCTGGTGGTCTTTGAACAATACTTTTAGTAGCCAGGATACTGAATAAAGTATCTGTTGCTGTAGATAGCAAATGAATTTGAGGATGTGGCTTGTCTTTGCAACATATGTAAGCTTATAAAGAGACACACTTTACATAGGAATGTTTATAAAGCATTTTATTAGGATTTTCACAGCAGTCTGCAAGCAAGATCTTATACAGATCTGACCATAATCACTTCTCTGCTGAAAGCCTTCAGTGCTCCCGCCCAACCCTGTGATAGAATAAGGGTCCTAATCCTTGAGACACCATCAGTGATCAGTGTGCTGTGTGCTCCAGCTGTGGCCAACTTGGGATGTTCATCTTTTTTAAAAGAACTATGATGAATTTGTTTTGGTGCAGAAAACTTTTGAAATTTATTCATAGGTTTTCCATAAAATGCATTTTCCATGAAGTTTTGAAGAATTTTTAGGTTCCTTTGCTTATACAGGTTAAACATGAAAAAGTAAGATTGGGACAGACATGCAGTGCAGTGGGTAAGATGCTCTCGGGATGTCCTCGTGCCCTGTTGAGACGCCTGGTCTCTGTGCTCTGCTTCCAGTGGAGCTTCCTGGAAATGTGCACCCTGGGAGGCGGCCGATGATGGCTCAGACAGCTGGGTCCTGCCGCCCATGTAGCTGTTTCAGGCTGGGTTCAGGGCTCATGGCACAGTCCTGACTGCTGGCAAGCATTTAAGAAGTAAACCAGTGGATTGAAAAATATCTCAATGTCCCTCTCTCTCTGTCTCTCTACCTTTCAAACAAAATGCAAAATAAAGTAAAAAGAAGTAAGATGTGCATTACCACTTTCCAAATGATATTCTTAATTTAAAATCCTATGACGCGTCTTATCTGAGTATCTATCACCATTTTCTAAGCACCTATTATTGATAATGCTGAGGAATTTGTGTCATCGCTTAACTTTGAGATGACACATAAATTTTGAATCTTCACTTTATTTTCTCCTCACCCACATATTCCCCAATGTATTGCATTCTTCCCCTTTAAAAATATTTTGCTTAATATAATATTTTCATCCATAAAGTTTATACATTGGTTTCATAGTATTTTGTTTTCAAATAGTGATGATTGAAAAGCCACTGATATCATCTTGCTTAGTTTCCTTTGAGAAAAATGATCAAAGTGAGCCATGTAGCCCTGGAACTGTGGGACAGATTTCCTGTATAACATTCACAACTTTGGCAAAGTAATTGCTCTGCCACGCAACTGGTAAAACTTGTGAAAAAATGGAAATTACATTATTAGTTGTTATGTGCTACCTTGGATATGAAAGGCCTTCAAAAAGTTAATGGAAAATGCATATTATGAAATAATTAAGCATGATTTCTAAAAATGTTTATACCAGAATAAATATATCTTTGAATTCTATTTTTCCATTAACTTTTTGAAGTTTCTTTGTATGCTTGGCCAGACCTCATCTGCAGGTTCATGGTCTGTTCTCAGCATAGCCTTTTTGAAGGAGCAGTGCCCATTGAAGAGCCAACCCATTTGTGATCTGCTCTTATAGCAATTTTGAATTACATAATGAATTATATTGTTTATAGTCACCATTCTGTACAGTAGGTCAAAATAAGTAAAGCTAATTTCCTCTAACTGAAACTTTGATGGACAAATTTGTTAATTAGCCTGATTTCATCATTCTACATTGTAAACATATATCAAAGCATCAATTGTACCCAATAAATATATATAATTATTATAAGTATAAAGTTTAATTATAATTAAGTTTAAAATTAGAAAAATTACAGGTCTTTGGAAATATGAGTCCAACACAGAAAATAGTGACAATGATATTAAACAGAAACCATACCATGCCTTAAGTAAAATTGCTGGGTCCAACTTATGAAGAAAAGACATGAAGTGTTAACTGTCTGGCCCTTTATAGAAAAAAATTGGCCAACTCCAGTTATAGAATATAAAGCAGGAAGAGCTACCAGAAAAGATATGGCAAGGAGCACCCTGAAACCAAGAGGGTATAGCTGTCAGGAATTTAGGAGAGAAGATTTCAAAGGGGGAAGATGGGTATATGAGGCTTAGGGGTAAAACATTGCCAAATATTATGACTAGGAGATCATTAAGTGCCATTCCAAAAAGTCCATTTCTGGATGGAACAAACCCTAACAAAAAAGTACTCAAGAGACCTATTTCTTCCTCCTTTCCTTCCTGCTTTTAATTTTGTGTCAGCATTAAACCATTAGCTAAGCATGCATCACTATTCCAGGTGCTACTGGAGAAAACCTACAGACCAGATGCACTTCCCCAGAAAGTCATATCATAGCAGAGTATTAGAGACCTAGTGCGATGATGAATGTAAAGAGGTCGAATGCCATAGGAAATTAATGTACGTGGCTTTCAGGTAATACATTACCCCATGCCATTCCCTGGACCAGACTGAACACTTTGTATTCAGGGGTCGCTTTCAACAAAACATCACAGCAGGCCTTAAGCAATTTGAGTTTACAACATAAAGCAAATGACAGAAGAAGATTCCTGTCATCTTTGTGATTCTGGTATAAATTACATAATTTCTCTCAATTATACTTTGTTCATCTGTAAAACCAGGATCATTCAGTACCCCACCGAGTATTCTGAAGATGAAATGAGAGGTCCATCAGCTGTGTGATATTTGGTGTACAGCAAGCATGGCATGCCTACTAGCTTGTATAAATCTCAATTAATACATTCAGATGTACAAGAAAAAAATCATTTATCATGTTCCCATCAACTTTATGAGGACTCAGTCCATCCTGTTTGGACAGTAGGACATTTAATCCAAGAGATTCTTGGGGTGCCCACTCTTACTTCCAGGATGGTACAGACAGAAGGGCCTGAGAGGCCTTATTGGCCATCAGTTACCTGGTTGCCCTGGCTACTAAAGAGACACCTTTCATCCCTGTCCTAATGAGTCCGCCAAGTGCAGCAACCAGGTGTGGCTCTGTGGAGGCCAAGTGCCGTGTCAGGGAATCTAACTTCCCAGGGAAGCCTCTGGAGCATTGTCAGTGAGTGGATTCAGGTCCCTTCTTTGCAGATCCAGAAACTTCTGTCCCCAGTCCCAGAACATCTCTTCCCTCTGAGCCCTCCAGACTCATGCCTCTGCCCTCCCAACAGGACACGTGTAATTCCACTGCAAATGATGTGGTACTGCCAGTAGGTTACCTCTTTTGACTTACAAAAGTGGCTATTTTGTGTAGCTCAAACTAATAACTAATCAATTTAGCATTTCTTCTTGTCTTTAAACCTAGGAGGGCAACAAACCTTGATCTATTTGAATATTCTAAACAGCAGAAACCCCTGATGCAAGTAAATAAAATAGACTACTTTAGTCTGGGGCAAAGGGAAATAAGTAGAAAGACAATTTAAAAAGAATTCATTAAATTCATATGTCAGTACCAATAGTAATAATGCTTATTATTTGTATAATAATGCTTGCTTATTACTGTCCCCCCTTCTCTTGTGCATTTTCATGGTGGGATTCACTGGGTCTTGCCTCATTCCTGCTCTATTTTAGATTTTGTAGCTTCATCTCCAGTGTCCTTCCTGGCAGCCTCCCTTTGGTCCCACTGTAACCCCTGGCAGTTGCCTGCCTTCTCATCATCACCAGCCCTCTTTCTCCCTGGAAAGCACTTCTCACATCACCTGTGTTGTGCTGATACACTTATACTCCTTGTTTTGTTTTTTTATTTGAGAGGCAGAGAGTTTGAGAGAGACAGAGAATTCTCATCTACTGGTTTACTCCCCAAATGCCAGCAACAGCTGGGAGTAGACTGGGCCAAAGCCAGGACCAGGGAACTCCACTTGGGAGTTAGGAACCCAATTAATTAAATCATCACCACTGCCTCCTAGAGTCTGCATTAGCAGGAAGCTGGAGTCAGGAACTGGAGCTGGATCTTGGGCGGGCTTCCTAACCGGTGTCTTAACTGCTGGGCTAAGTGTCTTCCCCTGCTCTTCCTCAAAGACTTAGCTGAGACATGATCTCTGTGACTTCTCTGTATTCCCTGAAAAGACTTAAAAGCATCATTCTCTGTATCTCCACAGTGCCTTACTGAAGGCACTTAGGCTTAAGATGGTCAAATAACTTATCTTCCAAACTGGAACATGAGTATGCAACTAGTACTTAATGCCGGGACCAAACATGTGAACCAGGACTGCCTTGGGCAAATCAGGAGGCATGACGACTCTACTTCCCCTTACATTGCTAGGAAGATTGTAAATTTGTCTATCAGCATCTGGTACAGCGACTGACAGATAGCGGTCAATCAGTGGACCAACTGATACATCATGGAAACACTGAAAATATTCTAGAATGATGAAATGACATAGAAAAGGAAGTGCCATGGTGCAGTAGGTTAATCCTCCCTCTGCGGTGCCAGCATCCCATATGGGCGCCGGTTCTAGTCCCGGCTGCTCCACTTCCAGTCCAGCTCTCTGCTATGGCCTGGGATAGCAGTAAAACATGGCCCAAGTCCTTGGGCCCCTTCACCCACATGGGAGACCAGGAAGAAGCACCTGGATCCTGGCTTTGGATCAGCGCGGCTCTGGCCATTGAGGCCATTTGGAGAGTGAACCAGCGGAAGGAAGACCTTTCTGTCTGTCTCTTCCTCTCAACTGTCTGTATCTCTACCTCTCAAATGAAATAAATAAAATCTTAAAAAAAAAAAAAAAAGAAAAAAGAAAAGAAGGTGGGAGAGCATGTCCAAAAAGAACAACAAATAAATTCCTTTGGGTGGAATAGATGTTTGGGTATTGGCACATAATTTAGCAAACGATTCTGGAAACTTGATCAGGGTAAGTTTTTTTGTTTGTTTTTATTTTTGTGTTTGCAAAACAGGGGAACAGGGGAAGGTTAAAGCATTGGGGAGGGAAGGAAAGATAACTGATAATTGTTCAAAAGATGAATGAGAAGGAGGGGAAGACAGAGGAACTCTAGAGACTGAGAACAAGAGGTGAAATTAGGAATCCCTTGATTAGGAACTTCCACCGCTTAACATTTTATACTTCATGAAAAAGTCAGGACCTTTTAGATTGCAAGTGACAGAAATCCAAGTTAGCTTGATGTAAACAAAAAGGAGAATTTTTCACGCCAGCCAGCATAGACTCAAAGGGACTTCAGTTTGGGTAAAAGCAAATTTAAAAGGTAAGTTTAGTTTGGTGCAACAATAAGAATTGAAGTTAATTCCAGATTGTTTTCTTAATACACATTTCCCATGGGCTTTCTGAGGACCCCAGTATAAAGGCATTGGAGGACCCAGGTTCTCTGACACGGTCATCTCAGGAGTCTCCTTCTCTCAGTTCTGTTTTCTTCAGTGTTTCATTCATTCTTTGTTAAGTTCTTCCCGAAAAGGCTCTTCAGGTATACTTCAGGTATACACTCTATCAGCCTATCAACCACAGTAGAAAGAGAACTCTGCTTTACCAAGAATTCTAGCAAAAGTGCCCGCCCACCTCTAAACTAATCACTGTCGGTGGGAGGTGTCAGGGTCTGATTGGCTAGGCATTTGGTCACAGGTTCACCAGGGTTGATAGACTCAGCTTCACCCAGGCCAAATAAAGGAAGTGTATGTGTTGGGGGAGGGACAAGCAGCAGAGAGGGGCAGAGGGTGGGGATAGCTTGCTAAAGAACACTCATTTAAAAAAGGAAAGAAAATGGATATTAGGAAGTGATACCAACAGATGTTCTCCCCATAAAGTCTCTGGTACTATTTCTTAATTTGCAGATAACAGTGAACTCTTCTAGATCATACAAATCAAACCGTAGAAATAAAATTATCAAGAGGAAACATAAAGTGATGAGCTTCCAAATGTGTAGGAATAAAGCAATTCCAAAGTACTCTAGATTACATTTCATGAAAGTATTCAAAATATAACAGATGAGATGTAAGAATTATTTTTGCCTATTAAAACAATAATAATAATCCCATGCTTGTTATCCAAATAAATAGAAATCATTATTCCACCTTTCAATCTAACCTACAGATGCAATACTACAGAGACTCCTAATTAGTGATCTTCGAGTAAGCAGTAATCAAGCCAAAGGAGGGTTGAAAAGGGCAATTAAATTTGTTAAATTCCTTAAATAAGTTTATTGAGAGATTAATTGATACACCTCTTCATTCTGAAATGACATGGTCTATGGGCTTGAGAAACAATCATAAATATATTTATTTGTGGAATTGACAACATAATTCTGAGTACACTGCCAAAGTGAATTTTCCCGTGGGACAAGTTTAGTTTTCTTTGTTGTCTGGATTTTTTGTTGTTGTTGTTACAATTTATAGAATGAATGTGTATACTTTTTAAATGAAAAAGAATCCCCCCTCTCCCCCAAAAAAACACATTTTCTTTCAGAGAAAGAGAAATTCTGACATACAGAGAAACTAGCGTTGCCCTTTGAAGTGGCGCCTTCATGACTCTTGTCAGTTTTTTTTTTCTCCGCATAAATATCCATGAGTATCTCGGAAACAATATTGGGTTAGATGAGACACGGATCTGAAAGAATGTGGTATTTCTCTTCGTATGTAAATATTAATCAAATATGTTATCACAGCATGATGCTAGGGTAAGTGATAAGAATTTAATCACATTCACAGATACTTGCCTTACTAAATCATTTTTATTCCCTTCAAGAACAAGTTTCTGACACAGAAAATCACCTGCAAGGATCCAGCTTGGTGGAAGCCATATTTAAAGTCCTATACCATTGCAATTTTTCTCCACAAACATTTGGAAATGTTTTTGTGAGCTACATGGAAGAGGACCAATTATGGGACTTTTTATATAATATTCCAGGTATGAGAAATTGGAAGTGTTTTATAGATACTGAAGTATGCCTTTAAAGATGTCTTAGAAGTTTTATTGGTATCAGTTTTGCTGAATCTGTTCTTTGTGAGTTTACCTTACATTTTCTCAGTATAAAGGCTCCTGTTGGGAACCATAAGCCATTAGGTTCTGTCCAATTGGATATACTTTGGGGAAGGGTGAGGGAGAGGTTGAGGAGAAAAGTCACATAATACACATTTTCTCTTTTTTAGTTAGGAAATATTCCACAATAAAAATATTTACACAGGATGTTTTGTTATTGAGCATATAAGACATTAGTGATACATGAAAAGTATTTTTATGCATTTCTTCAACAAACTGATGGGCAATACTATTGGTCAACTTTCTTCAACTGTTTAAGGCATTTATTGTTATGACCATGGTGCTCCTCTCTATAAGGCAAGCATATCCTGTGAGTTCTGTGGGAATAATGTGTTTTCTCATCTGGTGCATTCCTCCACCTTCGGTTGGTTAGGATGCCAGTTTAGACACCCCATCCCATATTAGAGTGCCTAGGTTCAGGTCCTGATTCCCCTACTGATTCTAGCTTCCTGTTAATGTGCCCTTGGAGAGGCAGCAGAAGATGGCTCAAGGAGTTCTGTTCCTACCACCTACATAGAAGACCTGCACTGGGTTCCTGGCTTCAGCCTGTCCCAGCCCCAGCTGTTGTGGGTATTTGGGAAGTGGAAGTAGCAGATGAAGATCTCTCCCCTCACCCCATCTCTGAAATAAATAAAAATTACAGTTCTTTTTTTTTCATCAATATATGAGGTATTAATGGGTTTCCCCACATTCAGGCCAATGTAGATTCTCACCTTGTTTCATCCTTTGTATCTTGCCTTTAAATCTCCATATTTAACATCTTGGGAAAACACAGGATGGGAATTTACATAATGATTATTATCCTGTTATTCCACTTAGTCATTTGTATCAGTTTTATTTGGCTTTCAACCTATACGCTTTCTTCTCCACTGCTCTGCTATCAGCGTTTTCGTAAAATATTTCCTGAGCTCCTTGTAAAAGATCTGACTGACTCATAATCATGGTTTCATTCCTCCTGGACTTTTTGACTTTCCTCGAGATAGTACACGAAAACCATTTTAGCGATTTTAAAGTCATAATGTTTCATCTTCTCTTGTTCATTATCCCTGCAAAATAGCAATAGATAAGTTTATGTAATAATTGCAAAAATCTGAATCTATCACTTAAAGATTCTGTAATAATTATCTCCTTTTAAAGTTTTATCGCCTTGTTTCCTTCCAGTCCCTCACTGCTTCCTGTTTACCCAAAGGAGGGACCAAATTTCTAGGTAAAAAAAAAAAAAAAAAAAGAAAAGAAAAAGACTGACTTAGAACTTGTTGTGCTTCTGATTTGGTCTTCAGAGAATGGAAGGATAATAACGTTGAAAGCCTTTCACGCTCAGCTGTTTTCAGTTGTTTCTGGGGACGAAAGCGCTGAATTCTCCCAAAAGATTACAGAGCATCAGTGGCCTCCTGCTCCAGCCACTGTTCATGCTGTCGTTATTAAGCTCTTGAACCACTTCTTTTGACACTCAGCCCCAGACTGCACTGAAAATGGCGTTGACGAGATCCACAGACCCCAGGCGCTGACAAGAGAAAGTGAAGCTGTGATTTGCTCCTACTTTGTCTTGTGCGTGTGGAGCACACTCTCTGCCTGCGAGGTCAGGACAGTCTCTGGAAACAGGGGTTGCCCATATCACAGAGCCCGGGCTGTGTCGGAGGCTGAAAGGGACAGACTTCCGATAGACCAAAGATGCCTGGCCTTCGCATCAGTTCTTCCTCCCTGTAAGTTAATATGCCTTGTACCTCGAACAGTCTCTGAGCCGGGGACCTGCCCTGGTCAGGAAGGACTGGATCTTTGTTTCCCATTTAAGCCTTTGGAAAAGTTTTCCTTTTCTTGTGTTGCCAGTCTATTATTAAGATATGACAATTTAAGAAACCCTGATAAGATAGTGCAGTGCACTAAATCATGACAAAATTAAGCCTTTCCTATGAGTTCTATTTAACCGGAAAATATAATATATTTAAAAGAGGTACAGCTGAGACACGTAATCATCACCCCCCCCCAATATCTGCATTTTATCGCTCATAGATCTGTGCTTCGGTAAACATAATTAATCTGCATAGATCAACTGCAGCACATTATTTAAAAACCTCACTGGTGTGTGAATATTCTTGTTGAAACACTGTCAATGATTTCGGCATAGCTTACCCGTAAAACATCACAGTCTTAGAGTGGGCTTTGTGGCGCAACAGGTCAAGCTGTCCTTTGGGGTGGCTTATCCCATATCACAGTGCCTGGGACAGAGTCCCACCTCTACTTTGAACCCAGTATTCCTGCTAATGCACACCCTGGGAGGCAGAAGGTGATGGCTCAAGTATTTGAGTCTGCACCATGCATATGAGAGATGTGGATGAAGTTCTTGGTTTCAGCCTGACTCAGTCCTTGCTGTCATGTTATTTGGGGAGTGAATCAGCAGGTGGAAGATCTCTCAATCTCTCGCTTCCTGATCCCCCTCCTCTGCCTTTCAAGTAAATAAAAATAAATAAATACACATTAAAAACAGAAGTATTATTATGTTAGTGTGGAAAGTAGCCAATATTCTCATATTTATTGCTGAGTAAACCAAGATGAGAGATGTCAAAGAAATGCCTAAGATTGTCTACCAATTAAGTTGAACAGAATCAGCACAAGAAAGCAGATCTCCTACCTCATGGACCAGGTTATGCCTCTCTTTTTCTATTCCATTAAATTTTTTGAGACATTTGCTTTATGGATATATGAGTTCAATAGTGCAACATCCAATCTGATTTTGTAATTAGAAATCCAACACATAAATATCACAGGAGACAGAAATACAAAAAAAAAATGAGAAAACTTATGTGAGCATTTCAAAGTACATTGCACTTTATAAGAAATGGATTTGGTAGCAATCAGTGCAGGCCTATATCTTCAAAATAGATTGAGCAGTCTTCAGTTGGACAAATGAAAATATTAAAGCATAAATTATCACAGCTGGCCTTGTAAGACAATGCCCAGACTTGCTAATGAGGAAAATATTGCCAAAATGCTCTGTATAACATTATAATAATATACCCAACAAGTGTCTTTCACATGTTTTGACAATGTTGACTTTGCTTTTGTTTTCTAAATCAGTTTTCTTTACTCTCTCAGTGTTTGGAAAAGAAGCTTTTAACGATTTTGCAAAATTTTCTAATTAAGCTTTGAGATGCAGTTTCCACTTTGGTGTTCTACTTACCCTCCACCCCACCCCACCCTGCCTTAAGAAAGCCCAATGCTGTGTTGTTTTTATGTTGCTAAAATTAGTTTATAGTGGCTTACCTTCATGTAGATCACAGTGATTTTTCCTTTTTACTTACATACTGTCCTGCAGATAATATGGGTAGATTTTAATGTAAGCTTTCCAAAATTGGAAGACTGTCTTCTGAATTTTTTATTTGGACATTCACTCAGTCTCTATTTATAATCTTCTTTTAGATAACTTTGAAAGCATCATTTACTGAGGAATAGGTGTCATGGTGCAGCAGTTAAGATACTAGTTGGGAAGCTTGCAACCCATATTGAAGTGCATGGCTTCAGTTTCTACTTTGCTTCCTATCCAGCTTCCTGCTGATGCACACTCTGGAGGTAGCAGCTAATGACCCAAGTAATTGAACCCCTACAAGGACAGAGTTCCAGGCTTCTGGCTGCACCCTGGCCCACCCCACATTTCAGGAGTGAACCAGGAAATGAGGTCTCTCTCTCTCTCTACCTTTCAAAATAACTAAAAATACTTGTTTTTAAATTAATAATTTATTAAATCATAACTTAAATGGAATAAAATCCACTCTTTTCAAGTGAAGAGTTAGTTCGACCAATGTATAAGCCTCTGTGACAGCCACCACACATCGCTATGGAACACTTCCATCATTTCCTAAGTTTCTTTCATACCCTTTGGGGACAATTCTCCCTCCATCTGCTAGTCCCAAGAAGACACTAGCATACATTATATTATGATAGGTTACTTGGATCATTCTAGAATCTGATAGCAATAGAAAGCTATGCATTCTTTTGTGTCTGGCTTCTTTTGTGTAGCTTACTGCTTGGAGAATTTTGGATTATGCTCTATCAATAGTTTACTTCTTTTCACTGCTCAGTAATATTCACTGAGTACTATTTCACTGGGTAGCACTTTTTAAAAAAAATCCATTTGCCAGTTTGATGGGAATTTGGGTTTTTCTAGTTTGGGCCTATAATGCATAAAGTTATTAACATTAATAAATGTTTTCATTTCCTTTCTGTAACTAGTTAGGCTGTTTTATGAAGTAGTCATACCTTTTGCATCCTTGATAATTATGTATGAGAATTTCATTTGCTCTATATCCTTGGCAACTCTTGGAATGGCTTTTTTGATTCTGGCCATTCTAAGAGAGATGTAGTATTGTCTCATATAGTTTTACTTTCCATTTCCCTTGTGATTAATAAAATCAAACACCTCTTCATGTTCAGAGTGTCTGTTTGAAAGCATTGTTTTGTAAAGTAACTCAAATTTTTTTGTCTGTTCATGAATTGGATTCTTTGCCTTACTGAGTTTCAAAGAGTTCGTTATATGTTCTGGACATAAGTTCTATGTCATATACTTGTACAGATAAGCTTCGCTTAATGACAGAAATAAGTTCAAAGATATGTGTCACTAGGTGATTTCATCATGCACAGAGTGTACTTGCACAAGCCAACATGGCTAACACATGACATCACTGGATAACATAATCTTAGGGGATCCCCCTACCCCCTTTGTAAGTATAGCCCATGATTAAAACATCATGATGTGGCTCACGACTGTGTCGATAAAATTTCCTCCCAATGTATTTCGTACTTTTTCATTTTCTTTTTTTTAAAGATTCATTTATTTATTTGAAAGTCGGAGTTAACACAGAGAGAGAAGGAAA